CTCGGCAAGATCAGGCATTTGAAGGGAGGGTTCAGGACGACCAAAAACATAGAGTCATCCGATTGCTCAAGAACGTGCTTGCGCTGACGGGATTGTTGAATAAATTTGAAGGGGGAAATTGATCGCGTCCAATCCTTTGCACTGCCTTCCGCCAACGATTGCGCGAGGCATTGAAACGAGCGTGATGCGTGAGGCCAGGATGGGCTAAGCTTGGAAGCCTCATTTACATGGCCAACCACGCATTCAGGTGTTGGGACCATACCTGGTCAAAGGCTGTGTGAAGGTAGACGGCAGGACTTTCTTGCGCCTGTCAAAAGAGAATCACCTGACTGCCGCAAAACGCTTCACACTCTTAACCTTCACCTTCTCATTGTGGGTCCGCTTGTCAGGCCCAGATCCTCGCCAACATCGACCATCCGAACGTTGTACGTTGCTTCCGCGCCTGGATTCAGACGGACGCTGCAGACGGCCGGTGGGGGGAAGTTTGGGCAGGCTTCGATTGTTTGCAGGGCCTTGAATTCGGGCATTCTTCATATGCCTGAAAGGCAAGCACTTGCGCTCACAAGGGCGGGTCATTTGGAATGGAGTCTAGTCTTGACATGCTCACTGAACGACAGGCTTGTCTAAGAAGTCATTGTACGAAGCGAGAGAGAGAGAGAGAGAGAGCCCAATTATGCAAAGGGATACTCAATCCTACACAAGCTGTTGTTTGCAGTTACCCCCATCAAGCAACTCAAAGCATGGGACTGATGACTTCTGGCAACACAGAGAGACCTTCTGTGCTGCTGTTCCGCAAGACTGGGAATCTACCTGCCAAATCTAGATGTTAGTGGCCCCCAATATATTCCCAACATTTCCCAGCATGCTGGAACACCGAGGGGTAATCCAACAGATCAGCCCAACACGGGCTGGGCAGAGACGCCCGGAGGGGGGGAAACTTCCCTCCCTCCATAGCCTGAACGAAAGAAAGAAAGAGAGAGCCCAAATCAGCTTGCTGCTCTGTTGAGGATTGCGATCCGATTAGACTGAATGGCTGTTGTGCGGAGATCTGACACTCAAGTGTAGCGTTCCGCTCAGAGTCTGTTCGGCTAAACTGGATCCTTGTCGTGTCCAAAACACTCCTCTTAAAGTTATAGGCGTGAGCTAGGCCACAGCCTGTGACTTACGAGAGCCAGCACAGGGATCCTCCTGTTGATGGTTTCTCATCCCTTCTCTTCTCCACGCTATACTGCCAAAGTTGTGTTGTTGGTCTCTCATTAGCTTGTAGCGCAAGAAGCTGAACCTCTTTGTGTCCAGGGGGTGATGCGACCGGATCTACCCGCGCTTCTTCATGGCCTTCCACACCCGCCACGCCCGGCAGCAGCATTTGATAGCGACAGCACGTCCCAAGTTCAGGGTTCCAAAGGGGTTCAAGGTTTTCCTGCTGCCTTCGCCTGGAATTTGTGATGGTGCATCCAGCAGCATGTCGGGGGCGTAGATTTAATCTAAAACATGTAGGTGCACCCCTCGCCAAGACTGAATCCGAGATGGCGATCTGGGATCACCTGGCAATCTCCGTGGTTTTGCAGCCCATGAATATGCGTTAGATGTGAATCCGTGAGCCTGTGTCTGCGACTTAGCTTGCCAAGGCCCTTTGCGCCACCACCATCACCAGGGCTGCGATGCGGCATGCCACCACTTCAGCTACCAGAAGGCTGGGTGCAAGATTCACGGTGTTGTTGGGCAAGATTGGGTGCGAAGCCAGGCCATCGCTCGCTGTTTTGTCTTTCGGAATTGGGGTTTGGGCTGCAGTAAAGGTGATTTTGGTAGCTAATTTAAAAATGGCAACTGGGGAGAAGGTTGCTGTGCGCTCATGGCGTTCTCACAAGAAGCCAGAAGCGGAATGATTCCAACCCTCATCCAGACCTGTTCAACTAACCCATGGAAACCTTGAACACGTTCCTCCCGGAACGTGTGGAACCTAAAGCCTCGACCGCTCGACTCTGGTTTCTGGAAAGCCTGAGTTTGTAAACTTTGTAAGCTTTTTCTCACAGCGAGGCAGCTTCTTGGAGAGCTCACGCTTCACTTATCCAGATGAAAGTTGCAGTGGTGTGATCTTTTTCGAACTCCGTGACGAGGACCTGCAGAGCTATGTATGGCTGAGTGCGCATGGTAGCATTCCAGGTCCCTGTGGCATGAGGGTATTCGATTTGAAGCTGCACTTGCCTAGCCTTGAGCAGATGATTTCATGATAACTAATAACTCACGATTTGTTAGGTTAAAGGCCTTCTTGTCAAAGGCTTTCGGAGTGTGCGCAGCAGACCGTCAATCGGTAACCGTTCACGCATTCCCAGCTAACCAAGCGCCCAGCTAATTAAACGCTCAGCAAGAGGATGGAGTCTTGTCCGAGTCAAAGGAAGCTGTATGCGACCCGCCGCTGGGCTTCAAACTTCAGCCGGCTTTTCGTTGTACGGATTTTGAGGCAATGAAGCCTTTGGTGGTTAAGGAAGTCTTTTGTCTTTTTTTCTGCCTTTCCTTCAGACGGCGCCAAAATTCGGTTGTGGCGCCTATCGTTCACTAGATGGCTTGCGTAGATCTCAGGATGTCCTGAACACTATGACCTCAATTTCGCCAAAGTCTTAGTACTGCCATCGGTCTTGCAACCCAATCTCAAAAGATCTACAAAGCTAGGAGTCCTGAACTTGCCTACGCGCAAAGGAGCCCAGAGAGTGAAGCAGCTCCTCTGCCCCGTCGTGGGCGGTCAGAGGAAGGCGCTTGAATCCTACTGGAAACTGGGGTCTTTGGTTTGCTGTGACACCGTTTGGCAGGTCTTTATGGGTTGGTCTGATTGCAAACACATGGCTTAGGTGCAGCCTTCGCAAGCGCCTTTGCAAGATGAGATCGTGGCAGTTGCTTTGCGCACTGAGGCTGATAGGCGTCTTCAGGTTTGAGGGCAACTTGCTTGTGCCTGTCTCAAAATTTCTGATCAAAGATGCAAAGCCAGCATTCAACCCATCACAATGAGAGGCCCACAGTATGGAGCAACTCTCTTCCTTCAGATGGAGCTTCCTGGCGAACAGTACGGGCTTTAGGGGTTTCAGTTTAGGGCTCATAGTTGTTTGACTCCTCACCGTCGTAGAACTGACGCATTGCCCCAACAAGGTATCCAAATTCAGAGTTGAATCGGCCCACAGGCATACTTTTCCTTTTGGTCCTGGGGTCATGCTTAACTCTTGCGTGCAGCGAATTGCGGCAGAGCACGCTGATAGTTGGGGTCCTGATCACTGAAAGCCCTAGAGCTGCGGTTGCAGAGTGCTTTTCAACTTGGGAGGTCTGGTGTGTTGCCGGCATCTAGCCAGAGAGAGGCTTAAGGGGAGAAAGTATCATATATCGGCATATGGATCAGTCTTCCATTGAAACAAGGACTTTCCAAGCTCATCTGCTGGTTTGAACCGCGATTGTGCAGTCAAGGGCTGCTGCAAAGACGCTGCTCCCCCAGCGTCACTGCAAGCTTCAGCTGTGAACATCATTGTTCATGCCAGTCAAGCCAGACAGGGTAGTCTCCCCTGTTGGTCGCGTACATGCTGCATCCGCGCCGCCATGCAGCGCTTGCGTGGCAAAGCTGATGAACTCTGCAGTGAGGGCTTGTTTCGCGCAACCACCAGTATTGAGGTGTCTGTCATGGTTCAGTCTACTCCTTGTAATGGCCTCATTAATGCACTCTGCATGCAGCTAATGCAGGAATGCAACAAAGACAACATTGCCTCGATTCCATCTCCTTTGATCTTCTAGCAGAGCTCTTGATGGACCTCATCACTCGTCAAGCAGTTTCACCCTAGACGTTGAGACCCAAAGACTGACGCTCGCCGCTTGGATGAAGCCTCAGGTGTTGTCCGGCTTCGGGAGAGTCTTTTCCTCTGAGTCAAGCTCATCAGTGGAAGAGTTTCACAGCAGAGAGCACCTTGGCTTGGGGAGTTTTGTTTTGTCGTCATTGTCCAGGACATGTTGGTGCTTCTCCCGGGACCAGGCATGTTTTGCTGGAAACTTGTTGGTTGATACAACGAATCCTGCATGACTTGACCCGAACAAACACCAAACCCTGGAGAGTGTGGCATCATGGTATCGCGTAGTATATTCAGTCATGCAGGATTTTCAATGTCCGCCGGAAGTCGCATGAAGTGGGAATCTGAACTAGGGAAGGTTTTCCACTATGGGCTTATAAGGATTACATAGGGATTACGGGTAATCAACATTGCGCATTATTTTCAAACCTACCCCTGCGAAGTGTCAAACCTCCATGAAACTGTGACGAAGCCGACAGCGACTTCCTCAAACTTATGGAGCGCCCGAAAGGCTCTGTCCCAAACCCTGCCATGAAGGAAAGTTCGCCATGTGGATGTATTCATAAGCCACTCCTGGCATTCAGCACGTTGGGTCACCCGGCCGCGTTTTGTGGTGATGCTGGTCATGTTGGGTTTCTATTGCAAAGTCAGGAGTAAATCCCAAATTCAATAGACCCTAACCTAAGCCCCAAACCCTAAACCCATAGAAGACCCAGACGCAGGCCAAGCATTTGGCAATGTCTATGTTTCTGAATCTGAGCTTGGCATTGAAAACAGCTGCGGTTGTGACTGTGCTTCTTGGTTGATGCTTTTGATGCCGGGTTCTGCCTTTGCTTTAGAGGATTGGTACTTTACTTCTGACGGTCTAGCGGCTGGGCTTAAGATTTGGATGTTTCATGTCTGATGGTTCAGGCTCGCTTTTACCGTCGTGTGCGTGCTGCTTCCGAACCTTTCAGTCAGAATGACGTTTTTTGTGCCTGTGTCTTTGTTAAGCACTGTCTGGGTTATGTCTTGGCCTATACTTACCGATATAAAGCAGGCTTCAGACAGTAAGGTTTGGAAGTCAGATCAAGCACCAGCATCCCAGTATGTGAACCCCCTTGTCTGGCATATGCAGCCCGTTGTGAGATGTCAACTCTCAATTGAAGCCTGAAGGTGCTGATTGACGTGCCATCTGTGATGTTTGTTGTGGTGCTTTTCTTTGGGCAGCGCTTGACATGCGGACTTTGGAGCCCACGTCTTTGGCTGGACAAGCTCTCTGGCATATCCTTGGTATCCCCAGTTTGTGCTTGGCAAGATGTGGGAACTTCTTATGGTGAACCAAACCTCCAACACACTATATTGGGTCACAGTGAACCAAGTCAAGGCTGTGCGTGAACCAGGTGGACCATTCTACAAAAAAGAAGGGCATTGCAGGGTTGCCCACTATCGTAGCGTGCTCTTCGGAGTTGCTGATCCTTGGGGACGAAAGCTACTTTGCACCTGGGCCTTGTGCAGCAGCTGTTTCTCTTGCAGCTCCACAAGTATCTGGCAATTTGGGCAGGAACTCCAAGCCCCAGGATTCCGGAGTGGGTACAGTAGCAATGCCCTGGTGCAGGGGCAGTACGAGAAGGGCAGCTACATGTTTTTGTACGAGTTAAGTCAATTAAGTCGCCTCAAAGAAGCCCAAGGAACGATTATGGTGCAATTTGGAGCTCTCAACATTCATGAAGTGCTGCGGGGTGCAGAATCTGCGATTTGTACCGCTGTGGCTCGGACCCTGGCTGTTGACGACGATGTTTTTCAACTGGCTGGAGATGCAGATGGAGGCAAGGCAAGCTGGGCTCCTGAAGAGGGATGCTTTGACTCTTTTGTTCAGAGTGTGTCTCTTGCCAACGTGTGGTGTTCTTGATCTCCAGGCCATGGCGATTACAAGTGTTCCTGACATTGGCAATCAGGGCAATCCGCATCGGGCGAAGCTGAAAACCATGGCATTTGGCTGGCAGCACCTTTGGACATTCGTCTCGCTCACTCAGGCCGTTACTATATTCTACTTCCCTGCCGCCATCGCAAGCGTTGTCACCTTTCAACATAAGCTTGATAAGCACAAGCAGTTGCTTGAAGATTTGGAGTCCTATGACATCCGCTCCGCGAAGTGCGCAGTTGAGGGCGATCGCGCGCTAATTGAAGGTCACATAGCAGATCTCTTCGACGGAATCGAGGATCCGGTCATTTCTGTTCCGTTCGTATCAGGCGCTTTGCAGACAGAGGAACCCGCGGAGCTACCAGAAGCGCTTTCAAAGGAAGCCAGACTGGCCATACGCTACGCTACAGGCTATTCAAACCAGGACCAGTATGATTAGTCCGATCTGGCCTAAAAGCGTGTAATGGCGCAGAGGCCCTTCTAAAGTTGCATTGTTGTTTGACCCATTTTGCCATATACTTCAGTGTCTCGTCGTGGCCACACTCCTGCCTCCACATCTTGCGTAACTTCGAGCCATTTCTTGCAAGGGACGCCCCGTAGAGCCCGCAAGCACCAGGCACGCTGACAAGACAGTCCCGACTGATGCAAGCGACGCCCGAAATCTAGCAGAAGCTGTGAAAACTTATCTCACTTGCTGTTGCAATTTCCTCCTTTATGTAATGCTCCAAAATTTGGCACCTATCTGCAGCTTGCTAGTGCATTGCCGATGATGATGGCACTGATTTGAATAAAGCGCAAGAAATGAAGAAACAGCCCTTCTTGCGGATGCTGCGTTGGAGGACTGCCTCCAATTCTTCAACGACTACGTGCGTGGTCCGCTGCGGGAAGCCGTCATCGACCAGTTGGGCCACCAGGCCAAGCCGTCTTTGACTTTGGCAGGGGCTTTGGCTTTTGGGCTCGCATGCAAGGCATGATTCTAGACTTAACCAATCGCACGACTCCAGGAAACTTGCAAACCTTTAAACCCCAACACCTAGCGGACCTAGCTGGTCTCTGGGAGGCTGAGCTGTCCTGGAGCATCGGTGTGCTGTCCTTTTTGCCCAGCACGCTTTACGGCACCTTAGCAAGCTCCAGCTGGTTTTTCTTCTCAGCTCAGGGCAACATGCTATGTACCCTGGGTGGGTGAGGAAACGACAAAGTTCCAGGTTGTTCTAACATTGGAAGAATTGGACAAGCCCGTTGCTTAGTTTGCCGAGCATCGGTCGGTAAGGTATTGCCTTGGCATGGATGTACAGATTTGCATCTGCAGACCTGGGCTACGCATCCGTGGAGCATTTCATGATCGTGACTGCGGTGCAGCAGCTACTGTTTGGCGTGGTTTGTATGCCTATGGTTCACCCACTTCTGCTCCAGCTGTTGGCCTGTCTGACTCTTGTTCATACAAACGTAGCGCAGGGCACATGACAGATCACGAGCTGTGTGGGGCGGGGAGCGCTTGCTGGCTTCGATTTGTAGCAACTAGCCAACTTTTGTTTCGCCCAGACACGGACGTAACTCCACGGCAGAAACTTGTAACAGCTACCAGGCTTCGGCGCAGCTTCTAGCCTTCTGCCGGCACCCTCCATGTACAATCGGTTGGTAGTCATTCTGAAGCCTAAAGCAGGGAGAAAGCAGACCTGGGGATCTGCATTAAGAGGTGACCACTGTAGTGCAGCGCTCGCCACAGACAATATGACCCATCAATTATGCGGCAGCTGAGCCCCATACCATGACGATATCTCAGGACAGCTTGCATCGGTCCAGGCTTTCTGCGAAGTGCGTTGGCATTTCTGCTCGCCCTTCTGGCATACTGCGGCTTGGCACAAAGTTTTGGTTAGTGGATGTCTGGGGCTTCTAATTGTTTGTGGGTCAGCTTGTACAAGCTCTCGGGCTTGGACTCATGACCTGCTGTTTGAATCACATGTTCGACCATGGTACCCCTTACCATCGTACGGCCACCACATATGCTTTATCAAGCATGCCAAGCGGAACTTCCATACCATGTCATATCATCATGTCATCAACAATGCCCTCCCAAACCCTGCTTATCATGATATTTATTTCTCTATGCATTAGCATCGTCTTCGCAATCTTCATGGCGGGGCTTCAATATGCCCACTCCTCTCAGGTCTGATCTTGACGGCCTTTGGGTTGGTTGGTGGAACCGTGGAGTGCTGGGCCATGACTGACCAGCCCTTCTTTTTGGTAATTTTCTTCGTGCCTAGCAATCAAATGCAGATAATTTTCTATGCACCACATATTTATGAGAAGTGGATTTTTTCTGAGGTTCGCGTGCTGATGCGCGAAATTGATGATTTGGAAGTTGTGCTAGTGTGATGTTGTGCTTCTGCTGGGCATCTTTTCGCTTTGAGCTCTTCTGGGCCCCGTGTGTCCATCAGCATATGACTGAAGCGTACCAGGTCTGTTTGGCTCCGCTCCTCTGGCTGCACGCTTTTTTCTTCCGGCGAGATTGGCGCTTGCCTCGGAGCTCCTGTCGACGTCTCAACGGCGCAGCAGCATACTGTGAATTGTCCTAAAAGCAGCGCCATCCAACAACGTCCGCAAAGATGCCGCCTTTCCTCGGTCAGAGGTGAGTGACTGTTGGTCACTACCTTTGGAGCCAGCTTCGGTTTCCCACGTGTTGGGTCCAAAAGGAGCCAACAAGGGACTCCGGAATTTTCACCCTTGCCTTCTCTGCAAGTTCGTACAGGCCCAGCACGAGTGCCGCATGCACATCAAAGCTGTTGCTGCGAGCCGCTGGTGTTCAAGCTTTCCACTCTGCCATGAGCAGGTGAGCGTGAAGCCATGTATGGCTGATTGACTCAGTTGCACACTCAAAACCAAAGCCCTGAAAGGTGCTAAAGCCCTACAGCAGCAAGAGGGTGGTGCGAGAAAAGTGTGGCTCTAAAGTTTGGTGCGCATGCTCCTGGAAAGGTCAGCCAGCCATCAGTGCAGTTGATGTGCAGAGAGTCAGGGCATCGCAGGTTTTTGGGATGTTTGCGGGTTAGGCTTGTAGTCTCTGGGTGTGAAGCGCATCCGTTTCCGGGTTTGAGTCGAGGCAGCTCCCTGACGGAAACCTGCTCGACTTGGTACCTAATGCTCAGAGCTGAGGGAAGCAAGCGGGACGAGAACACTCAAAACCAATTAGCGAGGCTTTGAAGTCCCATAACCTGGATCAATCTTGAAGCTGGTATGGCCCAATCGCTGAAACCGCAAACAGAAATGAGGGTGTCAGGGCTATAGTGCTCTTTCCTGAGTCAGTGTCTGAGGTTATGCAAAGAGAGGAACCTGCAGTGCCTGGGCTGTTGTGGCCTTTGGGGGCCAAGGCCAAGGCCTAGGCGGGCTCTGAAGAAGCCAAGGCATTGGATCAGCGAGCAGAACTTAGACAACGCGGCCAGTGACAGCAGGCGGCGGACGTAGAGATTGTCCAGGCTTGATGGAAGTCTTGTACTATGGGCCCTTCAATCATTCAGGAGACGGCTGGACTGAGCTGCTGTTTGGCATCCATTGAATTCTGGTAAGACCGAAGATGGCTTCATGAGCTAAAGACGTTGCAAACCTGCATTACAGGATTCCCGAACAAAAAGGCTTTCAAGAAAGAAGACGATGATGGCGCCTGCAGTCTGGAAGGAATCTAGTTCATTCCATTGCCAGCATCTTGCCCTTGAAGCAAGGTCCAGCGAGGTGAAAAAGATCTTCGTCCAGTGCCTGCAAGCACTGGCGCACCTTCACGGCCTGAAGTGTGCCTTAGCTGAGCTGAAGATACACGGTCGCGAAGCTTCTCGTGAAACATTTATAGCCTTAATTGCCAGAAGGCCACAAGAACCAGGTATCCCGTATGGGTGCGAGAGTATAAACTCAGGAGCTCTCCAATCTTCCCCGACATCTGGTGAAAACCAAAGTTGGGGGGTATGAAAAGCGGAATGCAAAGGGATTATGGGTTCCCTATTCCTGACAGAGCTGAAGTTGAAGCCATCGTGAATCCTGCGAATCCTGCAGCGACCATTCGCATAAGATCTTCGTCTCTGGCCACCACAAGATTTTCCGAGCCTTCAGCAATAAGGTTCTGCTGACAAGTATCTAAGATTTGAGTCCACATTTGTATCGCAATGCATCGCAGCTTCAGGGATGCACCGAGACATCAAGCCGTCCAACATCCTCTTCGGACAGGATGGTGCTACTCGCCTTTTAGAAGATGGGGAGGGAGTCGGGGCTGAGGATGTGAGTGTTGTCCAACAACGGTGCTGCTCGTAGTAAGGATCGCTTCGGAGCACGGAGAGCCCACATGCAAGCTGAGGGAGTCACACAACCCCAGTGTGACATCTATGTTAAGGCCTACAAGAGAAGGCACATCCTACGAAAAGGCTGCTGACATACCAGTTGGGACATGGGCCCGCAGCACAGGCTCGCATAAATATTCTGCTCAGAGCAAAGGCATTGGGCAAGAGGAGCTCTGCTTGCGAGTAGTTCATGATGCTGCAAGCTCCGCGTTTGCCGTTTTCTGACACAGCCAACTAGGAACAAGTACCACGCTCACGGATTGAAATGTGAGCTTGCAACTTGGAGCTTTCCTGGCTTCACACTACAAGAACATGATGAACACGCCCAGTCCTCACATTGCCCGGCCCTTTGACCTGAGAATTTTTCCATGCAAACCATGCACAACATCTGAACTCTTGCAATTTTCAACCCCGAGGCGGTTCGCCTTGCCGACTTCGGCCTGGCCAAGGCTGTGGAGACGCCCAGCTGCCCGGGTCTCAGCGATCTCAACGATGCCGCGATGCCGAGACCATGTGTTCAGACTTTCAGAAATGTGAAAGACTGGCCCCATCTGGCCCCAATGTCCGGTCCTGAACGGATCCTTTCGTTGGAAGAGCCCTTTTTCGCTTATCCTTCGGCACTAGTTAGGTCTGCCGTCTCCGCGCCTTGCGCCAAGGCATTGTCCCCAGGGAGAGAGTGTAAGCTGCATGCGTCGCTGCGTGGCTTGCGCTTGGGGTGTCTGGAGTCTAGCTTCCGCGCCACAGCTTGCTAGTTCGAGCTCCCCCTGCAGTGGTATTTGGTGATTAGTGGTGAGCCGGATCTTCAAAGAGTTTCTTCCGTTGACGCTGGCTCATGTCATGCGCAAAGATGGACCCTTTAGCCCTCCAAGCGCGATGTCCACAATGCAACCTTCAACTCACCATTCCATCAAGCAGCCAGATGAAGTCACAGACATGCCAAACAGAAAGTGTCATGAAAGCTGGGCTCTGATGATTGCTCACCATCAAAAGCATCAATCGCAGTCTAGTCTGCTCGGAAGCCCATCTACACCCAAAGCCGCCCTTGCTCTTGGCATCCGTCATGGTGCAATGCGCAGGCATCTTGACGGCACCGCATTTAGTGTTTCAACTGGCCACAGCTGTCTTGGGTCCCTGCAGCTCAATATTGGACAGTTCGGAGCATGACCGTCAACATTCGTTTTGTGGAGTTGGTTGCCGAAGACTCGGGCCGGAGTAATCCTGAACCTCTGACACCAGACCCTTCCTGGATGCTCGAACTCGCCAACATCGAAACCCAGGGCCTGAACCTCCAAAAGTGTTCAAGTTGCAGGGGTGGTTCGTGGAGAAGGGCACCCAAGCAGCAATCATGGCCCTGAATCATCTGAATTGCGAATTAACATAGTGCTGTAGGCCCCCATAAGTAACCTGACCCTTTCATAGCCTCGAAAACACTGCCTACTTTTGTACTCATCTGTGCTCTCATGGTGTCAGCTGCGTCCTACAAATCAGATCCGAAACCGGAAGCAAGAAGAGTCCCATCAAAGCTGCAAGCCTGGGCAACTGAATCCTTCGCATTGCGAAATGATTAGGCTTCAGCTTGGTGCCCAATCCGCTGATGGCACGGGCAGCAGCACAGCGCCTTGCGTGGATGGGCCGTTGGGGATTTGGGGTTGAGTATTTATCGTTTTACACCCGGTTTGCACGTCTCCGGGTGCTGCAGAATCTAGAGTGAGGGACCTGACAGTCTTTGTTCAGGGTCTTTGGGCGTCAGCAGGGCCTGCAGATGCATTCGGTGGTTTCTGCTCCACACCCTTAGTTCGACTCTCAGGATCCATTAATACACCCCCCTCCATGGGCGCAATTAGTCCTGATGCAGCCACACATTCTGCAGTTAGCAGCACAGCTGCAAAGCCTAGTATGATATCGAGAGCAGCGGGCACGGGGCAGGTTGGTGCTCCACAAAGCTCCTTCCTGCAGGGTTTTGGACTGCTGAAGTTCATGCAGAAACAGTCCTCCGCACCCCGCAATTTTGCATAAGAAATTCATTGGCCGGTGTTTGAATACATGTGCAGTGCCGAAAAACAGCGGCATACGCTCTCCAGCTTCTGTTGCCTGACCTTGAAAGACATCAGAACACCGGTGCCCACAAAATCGTTTCTCACTTCGCAGCAAAGCTTCAGTGCGAATTGCAAGGCAGGCCGCCAGCCGGCCCTTTTCAGCTCCAGCAAGACGCCGCTGCTGGACCGAGGAGCATATTCAAGAGGTGGACGGTGGTTAGCATGTGGGATTCTGTTTCAGTACGGCTTGCAGTCTTGCTGCAAGCCAGTTCATCTAGAGTCAAAATCAGTATGTATCGTTGAATGAAAGGGGTTCAGGAGTTCAGCCGCATTAGCATTTTGGAAAAGCAAAGAATGAAAGCACATGAAATTACTTTAGCATGTTCAAAGGAGTCTGGCAGTGCTTCCGCAGCTTCCGCAGCAACCTCAGTGCCATCAGCGCCGCACGAGCCGCCACATGGATGCAAGTGCTTTCTTTCAGTTCCGCTTCAATAGCGCAGTTGAGGGTTTGGCTTGTAGGGGTTTGGAGCACGGGGGCTTTAGGACGGAAGCTTGGATGAACAAATCTTTTTGGAGAGGCTTATGGTTTGCGATTCCAGTCAACTTTGCGCAGTGGGGTGTTCTTTTTGGGATCAAATCAGCCTCTGAGAACGCAGAGATTTTGGAGGCGTACGGCTGCAGCTTCCCGCCGGTTGGAGATGTTGGTTCGAAGGCAACTTCAGAAGACCCCAAGTCATCACGACCAATCATAGAGGTGTAATCTAGTCAGCCAAATAGATAACCTTGTGAGATTTCCAGGCCGAAGCTGGATTTAATGCCTTCGAATCCAGGCCTGGTAGCCGGGAGTCAATGGAGCTCTCAGAGCCGGAGATTGCGGAGGAGGAGACTGCATCTCTGCATCCCTTCAGGCTGCCTTCAGGTTTTCCGTGCTGTGTGCTGTGACTTTGCTCTTTTGCCTTTTGCATGCTCGAGCCGCACCCTTTTAAGTGCAATTCTGTCCATGCCAGCCCCGGCAATTACGTGTTGGACGCGCTTGCAAACATAGCTGAGATTCATGTCCCAGCTGCTCGGACACCAACCTCAACTTGCAGCGCCTTTGCAAGCTTTACCCATGAATCGCCGGCCGAGAAACAATTTTTGCAAGACGGTCGCAGTCCTTTCCACCCACTGAGCCACATGCGCTCGCCCAGCTATAGCCTGCTGAACGTCGATTTGTGGTGC